AGGACGTGAGTGGCGCGTTTCTCAAGGGCGAGGTGGACGAGCGCGGCTTGGTGATTCGCGCTCCGATGCATGGTCCCTCGCTCGCAGATTTTCCTCGAGGTCGACTGGCGCGAGTTCGGAAGGGCGTGTTCGGACTGCCTGCGGCGCCGAGGCTGTGGTGCCTGAAGGTGGTCTCAGCAGCCCGCAAGTTGGGACTCGAACCTTCTCGCTCGGACCCCGCACGCATTCTTGGTGCTCCACGACCCGAAAGGGAAGGAGCGCGGGCCGGACACGATGTGGGGCTGTGTCTGCGTGCATGTGGACGACTTCCTCTGGACGGGGAACGAGAAGATGGCGACTGTGATGGACGCGCTGGGCAAGGAGTTCGGCTTCGGCAGTGAAGAGTACGATAACTTTGTTCTGCGGCAGGCGGTTTCAGCGACAGCCTGGAGGAGCTATCACTATTGACATGATGGAATACGCAGCTGGGCTGGAACCTGTGATTGTGCCCAGGGCACGACGCACAGTGGCGCACCAGCCCATGAACGCAATGGAGTGGAAGCAGTATCAGCAGGTGGTCGGCAAGATCAATTGGCTGGTGACCAAGCCGCGCGTGGACCACTCGTACGACCTGGCGGTGCTGCAGCGCGAGAAGGGACGCAAGAAGGGCCCGAGGATCGCGGCGCTGATCAAGGCGAACCAGTTGCTGAGGGAGTTGAGGCGCAGCTCGACGTTCAAGATCACGATGCGACCGATCGACTTCCAGAGATTCGGCCTGGTGGTGGCATCAGACAGCTCACTGGGCAATGCGATGAGCGACGGGACGGCGTTGCAGTCAGATCCGGCGACCGAGAAGATTGGTACTCAGGCCGGTTTCCTCATCCTGTTCGCGGACCGCGCGCTCGTGGACGGCGGCGCGGGCCGGTTCTCGTTGTTGGAGGGCAAGAGCCACAAGCTGAAGCGCGCGGCGAGGAGTTCCTACGCTGCGGAGATGATCTCCGTGGGCGACGCCGTGGGCGTCGCCCAAGGGATGCGCGACCAGATCGCGGAGATGTTGTACGGCCCCGTGGCAAGGGGCGCAGGCATGAAGCTGTCGGGCTGGCAGATACCGATGACGATTGCGACGGATTCGAAGGACGGCCACGACAGGCTCAACTCAGACGCCGGAGTGGGCAGCTCGGCGCAGAAGTCAGTCAACCTGGAGTTGGCCAGCATCAGGGAAATTCCTGGATAGGCCGCAGACGATGGTGCGCTGGACGGACGGGACCAACATGTTGAGCGACGTTCTGACGAAGGACATGCCGGCGGATCATCTTCGAGAGACGTTAGAGCGCGGCACGTGGAGCATCGAGTTTAGAGAGGAAATGGTGAAGACGGCCCGGCGTGTCGCTCGAGAACGCTGGGAATCCAGAATGAGGGAGTTGGTCAAGGATGGCAGGTTCACGCCCGGAGTCCTTGAGCCATAGTGAATGATCTGGACCTCCCTTTTCCTCCTCCAATTGTTCGTGTTGTGCCGAGGCTAGTGCAAGTTTGTACGCTCGAGTGCGGTGTGGTGCTAATTGTCTACTCTTTCCTCCTCTTCCTCGGAATATGTACATCCGATTGGACCGGCTGGTCCGTTTGCGTATCGTGAGAGTAAATGACAGGATTTCTGGACAGAGTTTTCTGTGTTTTGGTTTCATGAGTCCGGTAGCGTTGGTTCTGGGCTCGATCCATATTGTAATTTCACCGCCATGGGTCGCGACCATGGCGTCTTTGTTTTGGGTGACTGAATGGATGGTTTGCCTATCAGAGGTCGGCCATCGAACTGGGCACAGATCCACAAAGATTAAGAATCCGTAAGGAAAAACGAGCCCTTTCGGATTGGATCTGTCCCCTGCTCTCGGCACTAAGCCCGTTATATGCTCTTTTCCCCCGCCCTTTCTCCCTCTTATCTCTCTCCCATTGCTGCCGGCTCGGTTCGAGCCGGCTTGAGGCGAGTTGGTTCCTGGTAGCAGGACTGGAAAAGGGGCCGCATCCTCTCCTCGAGCCCTGCGGGCTCCGCCGCCGACCCCCGCTGCGGGATCGGGAGGTCAGAGGAGGCCCAACCCGGTTCCGCACTTATCGCCCGATAGCCCACCCCGCTCTGGAACGTGCGGTTTCGCTTTCGGGGGCCAACCGCCGATCTATCGGCGATGTCTCGCAGTTTGCGCATCGATATGTCCCCCTCTGCGCCTGTCCACCCCCGCCCCAAGTCGCCCCCTCCCAGTTGAGGTTCGAGACTCGAGAGGGAGATGTCATTCTCATCGGTCGATAAGCACATCAGCTCGTCAGTCAGCGGGTGGCCAGGGCCTGGGCCTGCCTGGACCCCGTCCGCGTGGAGGGCCACTTGAAGCATCGACGTGGATGAGGAAAATGAGAGTCGAGGGTGGAGGATCGAGGGGGAGGGGAGGGGAGGAATAGGATCGAGGTTTGAGCATCAATGATCGAGGTGGAGGAGGAGAAGGATGAGGTCGAGGATTGAGGAGAGGGCGGAAATATCGATGCTTCTGGACGCTGTTTGCCTTTGTATATATATATATATATATATATATATATATATATAGAGAGAGAGGGGCACCCTCATATACATAAATTCACATACACATACACATACTGGGGACCTGTGAGGATCTCCGCTGACCTCCAGTGGCCCTCCCTCCCCGTCGCCGCTTGCTGAAGTGTTTTTAATGTCTGTGGGGGAATCCTCGAATAGATTCGGTTTCTGCAGTTGTTCCCGCCGTCCCTCCCTCCCGCGCCTCATCGACTCTCCCTTTCCGCATTCCTCTCTCTCCCTCGTTCCTCTTCGAGTCGGGCTGGAGAAGCAGAACGCGGATGGCTCCTCAAAACCGAGACTCCGAGAAGCACCTCGGATGGCTCTGACGATCGGTCCAGAGTCTGTTGGGTTTCAGGCACTGGCCGATGTTCGAAGAACGCATTATAGAAACATGGATGTTCGGAGCTCTGCGGATCTTTTGGATCTGCGCTGACCTTCCCGCCCTGGCGTGCTCCGCGATGCCAGGGGCGGCGCTTCGGGGTCCCAGAGCCGATCCATGAAATCCGCGCGGAGCTCCGAAAATGCATGTGGATCCCGTTGTCTGTGGCTCTAAATGCATTCCTCGTTGCACACAGCCAGCCAGCTTCCGCGCAGCAGGCCGCAGACAAAACTCAAAAGTGCCAGACGACCGCCAGGGGAAGGCCGCCGAACGCGCAGCGCAGCCTACTGGGGCCTCGACGCCCAGGAGCCCCTCTCGGCCCCAGCCGCCAGCGGGGCCGCGGCCGCTTCTCTGTTGCATGGCCGCGCGGCCCGCAACGGGCATGTCGAGCTTGTCTGTTGCACGGTGAGCACCGCCCCCCCCCCCGCCGCCCCAAAATTCATACGCTCTTTTGTTCATCTGTGTTTTAGCTTCTGGAGGTGGGCTCCGAGCCTCAGGACCGCCAGAGCACGTTTCGGACTCGGGACCAACGGCAGTTCCCGTACATTTTGCGCAGGAATCGTTGTCGGTGCCGCCGCGGAGGTCGTTTGCCCAACAGCGGCCGTTGCCAGCTTTGGACATCATCCGGTAATCGTTTCCAAGACCCGATGGGTCCTTCTCATCTGAGCACCAGATGCACCAACCATGTTGTACTCCGTTCTCTACTGCTTCCTGTCTTCCCTTGATGTACCACTACCCACCCGCTTGCCCTACCCTTATTATTCTCCAGATCCTCACTCCTGTCATGTTCGCACTTCGCTTTTGGTGACCCGCTTCCTACCCCCAACCCTGTTCTGTCCTTCGGCGCCCTACACAGGAAGCCAGAGCAACCGCGGCTGTTGCAGATAAGAAATAAGAGAAGGAGAAGCGCAGGAATGGGAAGTCATGAGTACGAGGAGTCATGAAGGAGTGCGAGTAGGATAAACGGTGCAATGAGATGTCGTGGATGCGAAGAGCGCTTGACAGGCATACGCGTTCATAAAGTTAATGAGGACGAGAGGCAGAACATGATGTGGATGAAAGGAGAAAGCCCTAACTGGTGTTCCTGCCAGTTCTAACGCCGATCCCCTCCTTGCTGCTGTTTCGGGTGAGTTTATATTGCCATATGTTATACATCTTCCACCCTATTCCTCCCTCTCTCTCTCTCACTTTAGCGTTCACTATTGATGGAGTGGGTGGGCGCGGCTGCACTCGAAGACGCCGTTGTTGGTGCTGGTGGCGGCGGATGGGTGGATGCTGCTGCAATCGGGGAGTTAGACAAAACATACTGTGAACGGTTATGTTGATGGTTGGAAGCACGCGCCACGCATCAGAGAGTGACGATATCACAAAAGTCGTGGCGCCCAATACCTATGCCGACATCGAGTATCAAAATAGAAATGCGACCCCGATCTGAGATGTGACCGACCGAGGTAAGTGCAAGCGGATCACGCCACATGCGTTGCTCAGGTTACGTTTCGGAGTTGGTATTTTCGCGCGGAGTCCGCCAGGTTCCCAAAAAATGCAGTTCGAGAGAACAACGCGCAGCATAGATTTAAGAAATACACGCAGAGCTTCGAAAGTGTATGTTTATGTTCGTCTCTGTAGAGGGTAACAAGTAGTGAACACCCCATCTTCCCAAGAATCAGAGTTGGTACACGCGGGGAAGACTGCGGTCGACGTGCAACTCATTCAGCCCACCGCCAACTTTGATCATTGGAGGGGGCATTGACAGATGAATGTGGCATGAGTGTTCGCTAATTTCTTCCGAGGCCTGACGCTGCCCCCACGGAGCTGGTCGAGAGCCCAGGGGGGTAGGGCGCCGAAAGCTTCTCACGACGCCAGAGGACTGGGGAGGGCATGCCCTGCCGGCCAGGGCTGGACCTAAACGGTGTTTTTGTGTGATTTGTCGTGGACGGGTTTTGTTTCGATGTCGTGCTGCAGCAAAGGCGGAACGAAGACAAAGCGAGGGAAAACGAAAACCAACCGAAAACGGAAACCACTATTTTGGTCGAGCCTTGCTGCCAGTTGCCAGCGCTCCGCCAGCAGGTGGCGCCGAACTTCAACAGGGGGCCCAACGGCACCTTCGTCATGGACCTCCCGCCGATAGCCGTCAGGACCGCACCGCGCCGCGGGCGCTCGGCTGGGAGGAGTCAGGAGAGCAAAAACAAACAGAGACACTAATAAACGTCGATTCCCAGGAACATGTGAAAAATATGGGAAGTCGAGGGGAAGACGAAAGTCCAGAAAATCAGATGAAGGGGTGCGCGGGGCGGCCCGATTCCCCTGCGTCCGAGGCGGGGAGTTATCCGAACCCACCACCCGAGGAACCGATCTTCCTGGACCTCGGGGGGCGGCGGATATGGACATGCTCAAGTCCCCTGGGGCTTGTGGGCATCCACGTCCACCGCCCCCTGGGGCTCCAGAACATCGGTCTCCTGGGCGGTGGATCTGGATAGCCTCCGCCACCCGCCCTACAAGTCGGGTCACGTCGGCCGTCGGCGCCAGGTCCTGGCTACAGTCGGACCGAGGTATAAGATCGCGGTCGGTTCGGGGAGGGTACCCTAATGTTCTTTGTGTTGTTTGGATGCTCTTGTGCATCCTGGGGAGGGTACCCTTGGATGTCTGTGTGTTTTGGCCGCGGAGGGTCTCGTGTTCTTGAGGGATGCTCTTCTGGCCTAGGTCCGACTGTAGCCCCCGCCTCGCGCTCCACAAGTCGGGCCAGGTCAGCCGTCGGTGCCGGGCCCTGGCCAAGGCCCACCCTCCCGGGCCCCCCGGTGCGTGCCTCGGCCGCCCTCGGCCACAGAGTGCTAAGAGGGGGCGTCCGCCCGGACCCTGGGGCCATTTTTGATGGCGCTTGGCCAGAAACTTCATCGAAGTGCAGATGGCGTCCTCCCTCCCTCCCCAGACGCCCTCGAGTTAAGAAGGAAAAGTCGCGACGGGAGGTTTTTCGTTATTTTGTGGCATCCGAGGGCTTTCACCAGCCCTCGGAAGCGTACAACAACTAATTACTCAGAATGAAAATCCTGTCCTGGGGAATGGGTCGAGACCTTTGGGGGTCGACGGCATGAAAAAATCATGACGTCGGGGGTCTGGGGACGATGTCCTCCCCTCCTTCACAGCCGCCTGCCCTCCCGCCTCCCGCCATCCGCCTGTGGTTCCCGACTCTACGGTGGTGAGTGCAGTCGGGCCGAGGCATAAGATCGACGTCGCTTCGGGAGAGGGCCCTGATGTCTTTCGTGATCGTTGGATATTCGCGTGCATCCCGGGGGGAGGGCACCCTCGAACGTTTTTCAGTTTAGTGTGTGGATGGTCTTATTTGATTCTTAGGCTTACGCCACACCGCCGACCCCTTGTTTATGCCAATCTGGGGGTAGTAGAAGCTGCGAAGGGGTGAAAAGGCGAGTGATATTTGTTTGGTGTCTGTTCGCCGCCACCGCCAGAGGGTCTCGGGCAGTTCCGCGGGGAGGTCCGAGCGGACAGCGACACTGCGAGTTTTGGAGCCACTCGGGGGCCGTTTCGGAGCCTCTGGGGTGCTTCTTGGGGGTTCCTTGGGGCGTCTGGGCGGCCTCGTGAGGGCCTCTGGGGGCCTCTTGGGGCACTCTTGGGGCCCCCTGGGGCTCCTGGGGGCAGAAAGCTAGAGTTTCAACATGTTTGGTCGCCCTCTTGGGCCCCTCGTGGTGCCGTCTTGGAGCCCTCTTGGGCCGTCTTGGGGACCTCTTGGGCCGTGTTGGGGCCGTCTTGGGCCGTCTGGAGGCCGTCTTGGGGGCCTCTTGGGCCATCTTGGGGCTGTCTTTGGGGCCTCTTTGCCCGTCTTGGAGCGTCGGGAAGCCGAAAAGGCGGAAAAGCAAAACACATCGAAAAACACTATGGAAAATCAACAATTTTAGACTCTTGGGGCCCTCTTGGGAGGCTCATTTGGGACCTCAGGGGCCGTCTTGGAGACCTCTTGGCCCGTCTTGGGGCCATCGTGGGCGTCTTGGAGCGGTCGTTTGGCTTCTCGGAGCCTTCGTGGGCCGTCTTGGAGGCCTCTTGGGGGCTTCGTGGCCCGTCTTGAAGCCCTCTTGGGCCAGGAAAAGCCCCGTGGAGCGCTCGTCCCGGACCCCCCCCCCCCCCTCCAAATCGACCGGACCGGGCTCCCGGGGGAGGGGTTTGGGGAGGGGGAAGCATCTCACACGCCGATGATCCCCAAGGGGTCGGCGGATTGGAGGATGTTTTCTGCCCTCGGGCCAGCCGTAAAACGTTTTCGGCCGCAGGGGTTGCCCCTTCTCATGAGAAGCGCACGGGTGCTTTAGTGGAGAGAGCATCCTCTTCAAAGAAACCACCAACCCTCTGCGTGCAAAGGTATTGAGCGCTGTACACTCTCCCTTCGAGAATTCCGTTCCGCTCCGTCCCGCCATCCGCCTATGGGACGGAGCAGCTCCACGGGGCGGCGGCGCAGCTACCCAGGAGGAGAATCGATGATCCTCAGGACGTGTGTCGGCTCACGCGTGTGCTTACCCCGTCGGACTCCGCCGATAGCGAGCAGCCAGTGCCAGCCATCGTTGCGCTTCTTGCATCGTACATCGTACTGAAGGGCATCGGTAGACAATCACACTGGCGCTAGCACACGTTCTGAGGATCAATCGGAGGGAGCAGCAGTGGATGGTGAGGCCTTTCACTGGTGCTGCACACTGATGTGGTTGGCCCTCGCTGGCCTCGGCAGGCGCCCTCAGCACCTCAAGCCCAGGGGCGCGGAGCGCCCCAGGACCAGTTGCCTCGGGCTCCTGTCCAGGCCAGCCAGGGCTGCCACAAGGGGCAGTTTGTCCGAGACCCGAGTGAGAGTTTGCTCAATAAGCGTGGGGTGGTGGATCGCGTGGGGGGGGGAGAAGGAGCCTGTCTGGTGCTGCAGGGGTTTCTCGACGGTCCCGAGGGCTGGTAAGGGCCCCCCAGAGGTCGAAAATAGCGGGACATCTTCCCGTCTTGATTTTCTCGTATCCCGAGGGGGTTTGGGACTGGGGAACGAAGTCGGGTGACCACCCCGGCGAGGGCGACCTCGGGGCGACGCGGCGACCACCCGCGGAGCGAGGAGCGCAAAACCATTTTTCACCCCGGCGGCCTCCCGCGGGGGGGGATCGCCGAGATGAGATGGTCCTGCGCTCCTGCCGCGTGCCGGAGGAGCCTGCAACTCTCCCTGCTGGGGGGCACGTAAGTGGGGAACGATGAACCCGACCCCCGCTGCGTTACGAAAAGATCAAGAGGGGAGTTGTTTCGTTATTTTCGGCCTCTGGGGGCCCTCCCCGGGTTCCGGGACCGTCACAAAAGGGCTCGGGACGAAAAATTGGTTTCGGATAAGGTTATATCCTTACCGCGCATCCTGATGATACGGGTTGATAGTAGCCCCAAGAGAACACCATGATATCCCCTAGAAATCTCCCCCTCCTCACTCTGCTTCTCCTGGCCTTCGGCCTCCCACGTGCACGAGCCAGGGCATGCGCGCCACCTGTCATTGCGGCAGGCGCGTGTCGTGCAGACGCGGCGGCGGCCCCGCCGCGGGCGTTCCAGGTTGAATGCCGCCAGTGGCCCAGAAGAGAAGACCGATCCAGCGGTCGAGAATTGGCCGAAGAGAAGACCGATCCAGCGGCCCAGAAGAGAGTGCCGCCAGCGGCCCAGAATTGGCCGAAGAGCAGACCGATCCAGCGGTCGAGAATTGGCCGAAGAGAAGACCGATCCAGCGGCCCAGAAGAGAATGCCGCCAGCGGCCCAGAATTGGCCGAAGAGAGACCGATCCGCGGTCGAGAATTGGCCGAAGAGAAGACCGATCCAGCGGCCCAGAAGAGAATGCCGCCAGCGGCCCAGAATTGGCCGAAGAGAAGACCGATCCAGCGGTCCCGAAGAAAGACCGATCCATGCCGCCAGCGGCCCAGAATTGGCCGAAGAGAAGACCGATCCAGCGGTCGAGAATTGGCCGAAGAGAAGACCGATCCAGCGGCCCAGAAGAGAATGCCGCCAGCGGCCCAGAATTGGCCGAAGAGCAGACCGATCCAGCGGTCGAGAATTGGCCGAAGAGAAGACCGATCCAGCGGCCCAGAAGAGAATGCCGCCAGCGGCCCAGAATTGGCCGAAGAGAAGACCGATCCAGCGGTCGAGAATTGGCCGAAGAGAAGACCGATCCAGCGGCCCAGAAGAGAATGCCGCCAGCGGCCCAGAATTGGCGAAGAGAAGACCGATCCAGCGGTCGAGAATTGGCCGAAGAGAATGCCGCCAGCGGCCCAGAAGAGAATGCCGCCAGCGGCCCAGAATTGGCCGAAGAGAAGACCGATCCAGCGGTCGAGAATTGGCCGAAGAGAAGACCGATCCAGCGGCCCAGAAGAGAATGCCGCCAGCGGCCCAGAATTGGCCGAAGAGAAGACCGATCCAGCGGGCGAGAATTGGCCGAAGAGGAGGAATTGGCCGAAGAGAAGACCGATCCAGCGGCCCAGAAGAGAATGCCGCCAGCGGCCCAGAATTGGCCGAAGAGCAGACCGATCCAGCGGTCGAGAATTGGCCGAAGAGAAGACCGATCCAGCGGCCCAGAAGAGAATGCCGCCAGCGGCCCAGAATTGGCCGAAGAGAAGACCGATCCAGCGGTCGAGAATTGGCCGAAGAGAAGACCGATCCAGCGGCCCAGAAGAGAATGCCGCCAGCGGCCCAGAATTGGCAGAAGAGAAGACCGATCCAGCGGTCGAGAATTGGCCGAAGAGAAGACCGATCCAGCGGCCCAGAAGAGAATGCCGCCAGCGGCCCAGAATTGGCCGAAGAGAAGACCGATCCAGCGGTCGAGAATTGGCCGAAGAGAAGACCGATCCAGCGGCCCAGAAGAGAATGCCGCCAGCGGCCCAGAATTGGCCGAAGAGAAGACCGATCCA